AGGCTCAGACCAAGGTGTAGCTATTTCCCTAACTTATGCTATTTCTCCACTTCGTAAGAGAAATGTTTTTCACGGAAGCTGTTATCTTAAAGTAAAAACCTAGTGTGGACATAACATGGCTGTGTCTACACCTCAGTGTAGTCCATGTGGATCTTACTGCACTGTAACTCACTGAACTAAAGCTGCAATGACTTATTTCAAGTTCAGGCACAAGGAGGCAGGGAAACCAGATTAGTGCTTGGTCTAATCTCTGTAAAACATTGTCCTTAGTTCATCATAAAAAATAAAATACCCAGCTATAGGCCTCAATGGAAATGAGAAATACCAGATAGTTTCCCCAAAGCACTTAACAGAAAGCCAAGCAGCAGGCCTGAAAGGATCAAGTATAGTGGGGAGGGCTGCCTGATATAAATACTGGTCTTGTGGTGAAATTTTACTAGAGAATTAACGATTCACACTGAAGTGCTGTTTAAAAAGTCATACCTCTGTTTTCATGATAGATGTTTCAATTGGCCTTTCAGAAACTGTCACCGTGTCCAGTGTAGAAGACATCCTGTGGGACTGACGCTTATTCTGAATGGCGAACCTCAGTTCCTCTTTCACCAGTGGGGTTAAATTTGTGAAATCATCAAACCCCAGTGACCCTGCGGGGGACAAAGTGGGAACAATTGCGGAGGCGCTGACTTCTAAGGCAGATACCTGGCCTGAGTGTTGGACCATCATTTTGCTGAAAGGTAAAAAGAGATAATAATAATAATAGTCTTTCAACAACTTTAGAACGGTAAATAATATCTCCTAGACGTGTATTTTATTTTGTGAAGTAATACTTTATTTCTTCCATTGCTTCAGTCCCCGTTCTCTGTCTACCCCAATCTCTCACTAGAGTCAAGCAGTTAAGAATATGGTCACTTGTAAAAACTTCTACTTTAGGTTAATTTCAAGTTGGTATTTAAAAATAATAATACCATTAGTGCATCACACAATATCTATATAGGTCTTTTGGAAACTTAATATGGAAAAAAATTGTATATATATGTATACTTCAAAGTTTTAAACTAGTAATGCGAGGCAAATAAGAATCGAGTGAACAGGAAGAGAAAGAGAATAAGGAACAAAAATCGGAAAACAAAGAATTATATTATTATCATCATCATCATCACGGGAGTTTAAGAGTATCTGCATCTTCAGAGCTATACCATCACAGATTCCAGCTTCTAATGGACAGAGCGTACATTGATCTCAGCTATGTTTAGGCACAGCTCAAAGACTTCTCCCAGAAGCTGAAGTTTGCTAACCAGGACAGAACCTGTCACAAAATTATCATGCTCAATTTTACACAAAGTTGTAGATCTGGTTGTAAGCTCCTGAAAAACAATTAACAATAAGAGCCAGCACAAAGGTAAAAGTCTATACATGCTCTGGGGCTTCAAAGCACAGGCTGAGTTGGAGGGATTGAGTCATGAAAAACATGAAGCCGTTTGTTTCATTTCTTTGCTCTTGTAAAATCTGAAACTGTCTTCATTTGCCCTGAATGAGAGGTCTGAAATTCTTAAATATTTATGGTCAGATCTCCTGCTGATATAAAACAGGGTGACTGAAGAGACTTCAGGGGAATTATGCAAATGGACACCCATGGAGGAACTTCATTTCTAGTAGTTTTCCTAAGAAAACGAATCTACCTGACAGTTCTCTCTGCTTTCCTCTTTTTAGTCATTCTTAATAATTTTTTAGCCAGTTTTGGAGGATGAGAGGCCCTCTATGTGCTTTGTGAAAATTGATGACCCCACTGAGGAACAAAGAGGCAAAACTCAGCAGTCAGCCCTCCTACCATCGTGGGCAACCTAGCTAGCAGACACACACATGAGACACAAAACTGTCTCTGCATGAGACATAAAATTGTCTCTGGCCCAGAAGAGGTGAGATGAGAGGTGTGAAAGAAAGTTGAGCATTTTTTTCTGGGTGGCCGATGGGACAAAAGGTGAAAATGCATAGGAAAACAGATTATATTGCTTCTTTTATTTATAAAGTGACTTGTGTTAAATTGGATTTTACCATGCTGTTTTTTCAGCTTTCTTTGGTGTAGGTTTTCCATGTTTTTAATAGCTGTATGGGTAATACAGTATGTGTTATCTACTGTCAGAACTATAATAATTATAGCAAAGTCAATTGTAATTAACTTAGTGTAGGTAGCAAATAGTTGCCTCGGGGTAGCAGTGTGGGTAAGTTAAATTTCCACATGGTCAACCCAGAATTGCATAGTTCCCTGTACGCTATTTCTGTAACCCAGCAATAAATGTTTGGGGTCACGTGCCTTAACAAGAAGATTGATTTTGCTCAGAGATATCTAAAAATACACCGTAGATCCAGACTGGGGCAAATGAGAGTAGAATCTGGTTCATTGCTAAGTGAGGTAAATATAAAAATGTGAGGACAGCGAATTGCCAGTTAGTAGAAAATGCCATGTCCAGCTGCTGAGACCTCCTCACTTCTTCCTCACCCAGTCACCACAGAAGAGCTGAAGATTTCCCAGAGTCTGGGGGTGAAATCCTGAACACACTGAAATAGAGAGGACTTTTTCTGTTGACCTCGATAGGGCCAGGATTTCACCCGAAGTTATTAAAGATGAGGAAATTATTTGGAACAACTTGTTATTCAGAAAGACCTTGGGAAATTTATGTAATTCTCTTCAGAAAGCCCCTGCTCATGAGTCACATTTAAAGTACTGATACTGTTTAATCCTATAATCTCAGAAAGCTAGCAGTTACTCTTTTCTAACAAGTCAGAAGCAGCCCTATAATTTCCAGCTAAATTCCTCCCAGCATTATTTGTCATTTATCGACATTCAACCATTCAGCTCATTTAAACAGGCTAATTCCAGATGACACTGAACCCCTCGTCGCCAGCAGAAATTTTAGCTATTTTCTCTGAATGTCAGTCTCCTTGGCTCCCAGTGATGGCTTCATTCAACAAAGTTAATTCCATATAATTCAATCAAACCAGGAGTCTTAAATTAACAGTAAAGCAATTTCTCCAGCCTACAAATAATTAATTGGGTTACTCATTTTCCAGCACTGGTGGTTTATTCAATTATTTTGAAGTTTAGGTGAACTTTTAATTAGGGTCAGCAGCAGCACCAGAGGAAACCAAGAAGCTTCGTGTTTTAGTAACATGTCTGAGAAATTGTGTTAATTGTGGATTTCTACTAGTTAGTGCTAAGTATACCACAAGTACCAACAAAACCCCTACTATAATGTCCTCCGGTACTCTCATCCATCTGTCATTAGTGTAAAAAAAAAGAATGGGAGGGTGCCCACAGGAAGGGAAAGCAGAGAGGGAGAAGTGTCCTTGACCATAGAAAATTGCTGCTCTCCTGCCTGAACAGCTCACTGACCTTTCCAGACATCCTGAAAGGCATCTCTATTTATTCAGACTTTAGGGAAGGGGGGCCTACCAGGGGGCTGAGGCTTGTGTAAGGACTTCTGCCATGAGCCAAGCCCCATTTTGCAGAGCTGTTTGCCGCTGCTTTGCTTTCCTGGGGTTCTTTCTTGGGGCAGGGCTTCTGGACAGTGCCTAGGAGGGCAGGGTTCCAGCCTACCTCCGAGATCGTTAGGAGCCACCGTGAAACAAGTAACAACAATAATCAGCCTTATGTCCAGTGTACTCAGTAAGCTGAATAGATTCCTTTTTCATAACAACGAGGTCGATGTTTTCCCATTTCTGAGGAACAAATCTGCTTTTAGAAATGTTTTACAGGAATGAAAATTAGATTTTGCCATTGAAAAAATGCAACAGGTTGTCCTTCTTTTTTCCCCAACTTTTGTACAAATTGTACTTCTACCTCTGTCTATAAGCCATCAAGAGCACTGCCTTATTTTCTCTGGGGAGAAAAAGGCTGGGAAACAGTAGGAATAAGAATATCAGGCCTTAAAGTGTGATTACATCTGGACCTTTCTGATATGATCTCTGTTTACTTTGTTAGACTATGCGCATGGACCTCAGCTCCAGGCTGGTTTGACTCCTTCTGAAGTTACTGACACTGAAGGTGCTGAATGTTTCACAGACCCGCACCAGAAAGGCACAGCTTGTTCCCAGTGTGAGTTAATGCTTGGTTACTTTACCCTTAGTTTTGGAAATCGCCAAAAAGAACAGCTTTTCTATTAATGGTACTCTCCCAATTCAGTTAGATTCAAGCAACTTTATTCATTTGGTCTCCCCCTGCCTTTTGCTTGTTCTCTTGCTGGTGATTCTTACCATGTACAGTGAACTTTAACATCTCATCTGTCAGTATTTTAATTTCAGGACATACTTCCTAGCTGTGCATTTCTATTATTTAAGGGTATTCTTGTTTTACATTAATATGAAAAGTGACTACTTTCAGTCTTTTCTTTTTTGCTTAACTGCAGATGGCTGACTGTGCCTCTTAGTTTTATTTCTTCATATGAATTCCTTTTCCTCTGGTGCTGATGCAATAAACCCCAATAACCATTGAGGTTAATCTTAAACAGCATTAAGAGCAATTACAGTTCACAACCTCTGTGCACGCTGGTTGACCTTAAGCTTTTTGACATCCCACATCATTCCCGAACCATTTTCTGCTGCCTCCCAGCTTCGTAAATGCCGTTACTAGGAGGAAAATTGATTTCCACAGGAAACTCGTTCTCTGAAACAAGTTTGCTGTTGTGTCACGCCTGACTTGATTAGGCAACAGTTTAGCAACTGATCTCCTTCGTGTCAAGACGAGGGGACAGAAAGAAAAGTGAATGTCCCCGGCTCACGCCGAGAGTTCCCACTCATTTGTGCCTACGTAATAATATATGTATACATGGCAGTGGGGGGTTACTCGTGGCCTGGCCAGTCCCGCTACAGCTCCCCCGTCCCTGCGGACCCTCCGGGGTGGCGGTGGCGGTGCCGCC